AAGGTTACATGAACACCTTTTAGGCAATATTATTTGTGTATGAGGCTAAATATATATGCTCATTTTTTCTAAATTAATTAAGATTTTTTTTATTTTTTTTATGTACTAATCCATATTATTTTTTTGGTTTTAGTGTAGGCCCAAGTCGTACACCAAATAGATTAAACTGGTGATAAGCTTCATCTAATACAAGGCTTTAGCCGATACAAAAATGGACATAGGTATTCCGGTAACCTAGTGTTCATGTCTTGTCCTTAGAATGGAATTATAGAAATTGACTTGGTAGGCTTAGAGCAAGATCCATAAATAAATGCCCAATTGCTACTTCTTTTTAGTCTTTGCTAGCAAGTTAAAGTAGTTTAACTAAAAAAACAAGAGTCAATCTCATTCACTATAAGCATTAACCTTATCTCAATTGTGAGAAGATTCTAACTTTTATATCGTTAACAAACTCTCTCTCTCTCTTACACATTAAATAACTCCTAAAACTCCACTTGATTAGACTTTGACCAATCATCTACTTGTCACTTGATTTGTATCTTACTAGCTTGTCTTAGTCCTCCTTTCATGATTTTTACTATATTTTTATAGATCCGAACATTCAATTTATGTACTTTAGTCGATCTACTCGATCCTTTTTTTTTATTTTACTTGTTCTCAAAAGTTTCTCTCGCACACTTATTAACCACTAGTCGAGCCCTTTGGATTTAACAATATGGTATTTTAACATATATGTTTTGTCCAAAAGATATCCATGTATGCTAACAAGACAAGAGATATAAATAGATGTATCTTACAAATGTAGGGTTTATTGATTGAGAACTAAATCAATTGTATTTTACTAATTTTGATGCACAAAAATTACAATTCAAGCAAATTTTACCCAATAACCTTACTTCAAACATAAAATGAAATTATCATAAGAACCATAAGAATAAAAAAGAATCATAACTAATTATTACACTAATAAATAACACACATGTTATGAAGGTGGGTACCACTAAAGCAAGTGAGTTGGTAGATGACTCTTTTGCTCTTTATCACATAATGACCTCTCGACAATTATAAAAATAAATGTGTTTGGAAAGCAGAGTAGCCACTCAGTTTTTCTAATTCTAAAGATAAAAACTAAGAAAAACTGAACAAACTAGTCTAAAATTTCTCACTAAAAGAGTTGAGTACACAACTAGAAAAGACTATGGTCACCTTAATGTTCCTTCGTAATGAGGTTACCATTTAATTCTAACCTATAGGAATCTCTTCATGTAAATTCCAATTATGTGTCCCCTCTTTTATCATGATTTATGAGTTGATTATCGGGTCTTTTTTAACCATTCTTAAGTAAGGTGATTTTAAGTCCGAAAGAAAACTTAGTCTCTCATCTAATATATTAGGACTTAAAATCCTTTTACAAATTAAAAATCACATACTCCATACAAAAGGAATAAAACATATTGAGTTTGGACTTTAGACTTTAGACTTTAGATCATCTGCCAAACCACGCAACAAAAATTATAAATCCATATAAATAATCCAAAATTATGAACATGGGCCTTGAGCTCCTATCCCGTCATGCAATATTAGAATTCTGAATTAGGCATACGACTCTATTTCAAATTTAAAGAATTTGTTACCGTAGTTGGTCAAGATTTAACGATGTTCCGATTAGGTTTGAGCTCTTGTATTATTGCATCATTTATTTTATTGATGATAAAAAAATCTTTCTTTTAATTCTTATGTTTTATGTTCATTAATTCAGTAGAATTAGATATAAATCATTATAATATGCATTTGCAATAGTGATTGATCAAAAGATGTGAGATAAACACTAATGCATGTAAATGATATCATTAAATATCCCAAGTCATAACATTGTCAAGAACGGATATTGACTAAACACGATTAAACTTATGGTGTTATGCTTATGCTATATGATAGTAATAAGAGATCTCACACCTATTGGCATGGTGATGCTAAAACAAATACTTAGGTGATTTATGTTAGAGAACATATCCTTAGACTTGACTTACCATGAGAACCCATTTGATTTAGTCTATGAGAATCTCATATGAGATGGGTACAATAAGTTCTTAGACTTGAAGTCATCACGGTTATCTCATTGAAGAATTTATGTACTTTGACACTCGTTTTGATGGACCCAATAAAGAGTTGCACATGGGTGATTCATTGGGTACACTAGGAATCTAATGGAGGTAGATGGATGACTAAGATAAGACATGTTATTCCTTGCATGCTAAAAGAGTTATCACATTGCACTTCAATGAACGTCCGCTCGAGAAATCTATGACCATAGTAAGAGTAAATCAATAGATTATAGTTGATTTAGTCTACAAGCTAAGAGATTTAGAAATCGAATAAAACTTATGTGATCATAATCGAATAAAAGTAATAAATAAGTTTGAGATCACACTCGTGATAACTTGACATGAGGACTCGAATTGTATGGTGACCATGCTCGTGAAAGGTAATTACGGATTAATTAATCCTCCTACGGAATTAGGTAGTCATGATGCCTTGCTAGATGCCAATGTTGACTTATGTATTAAGAGATAAAAGAGGTGTCTTTTATTCTTGATACATTGTCAACATATTTAAGAGCTTATTAAGTCACATACATAAGTTTAAACATTCACATGATTAAAGAGCGAAGAAAGATGCTTGGAAAAAGTTTTCAATTATGAAAATTTTCTATTTTGGAAAAGGTTTTCAAAAACGAAAAGTTTCCTATTTTAAAAATCAATTTCCTAATTTGGAAGTTAGTTCCAAATTTGAAAGTAAATAACCCAAAAAGAAAATGAGTTTTCTAATTTAGGTTTAAGGGTATTTTAAAAAATTATTTTTTGATGTGGGCCATCTAAAATTATCTAGCTTAATTTATTTGAATAGTCCAAATTAATTAATTAGGCTAAAATGGTTTTGGGCCAAAAAGATATTTTGGTGGGAGAATAAACATGAACTTTATGGGACAATGAAGAATGTTTTATAGATAAAGATTAAAAGCCCATATGTTAAATAACTCCTAATCCTTGAAAGATTAAGAAGCAACAACCAAGAGTCTAATAAAGACTAGTTGCCGCCCCTCTCTTTGTCCTTCGAGGACAAGGCAACTCTTCCTTTATAAATAGGAGGAGAGATGCAGCAATAACCAAGAGAAAAAAGAAGAGAAAATTTGACACACATAAAATAATAGAGACACATGGCTCAAAATAAAAGCTAAGAGAAAATTATTTTCTCCCTAACCCTAAGTACCTTTCTTCTCTCTCTCTTGAGTTGTCGAAAATTATCCTCATTAGATTTCTATAGAAAACACTAAACAAGTCGGAAAAGATGGAGCTAACACCCTACTAATTTTGAGTGCTTCTCTTATAGGTGCTTGGATCGCATATATTATCACTGTAGAGCTGGACACTTAGATGATTTTTTTCTACGAAGGTTTATATCTACGTTAAAAGAGGTAAATTCTCTATTCATCGCTTTAAGTCATGAATATATAGTTAGTTGATTCAACGGCATGATCTTGGGCCTTTTAGATGGAAATTTTTTTTGTTTTATTCCATACCTTCGTAAGATACATGATCCTTCAAAATCTACGATAAACTAAAATTAGTGGCACCAAGAAAATAAATTAAGATTAACATCAAACCACATAAACAATAATGATTATAATGAAAAAAATAAAAATAAATAAATAATAGTAAGAAAAATGCTCGTTTTAGTTGGTCCTATGTCTTAAACATACTCCATATAGACTAACTTAGATGCCTCCATAAATAATCATAATAATCAATAGATATCAACAAGATCTTTGGCCTATTAATTCATATTGGTTTATTTTAATTTTTTAAAAAAAATTGCTAACTTACTGCTAGCTTCATCATCGACCAACAATTCCTAAAAAACTTTTTATGCAAAAAATAAAAATAATACTATATATTAAGTCAATACCCTTATCCCTACGTTTTTTAAGAAAATAATAATAATAATAATAATAATAAACTATTAAGTAATCTCTACTCCAATAAAATTAAATTCTAAGCACAAATAAACGACAAAAAACAAATCTAAATTTAAAGCCTTTTAAATTTATCAAATAACATTAAGAACTTCAAATTCTAATTAATTCAATTAAACTTAAATTAAATCATTTTAATTCAACTAATCATTCAAATCTTGTGTTAATTACCTAATCAATATTATTAGAATATGAATTGATGAAATAATCATGCAACTCCCAAAACTTGGATGAAAATTAAATCAAAATAAATTGAAAATGCAAGGATAAATAACTAAATCAGAAATTCAAGGACCAAAATGGACAGAAGTAGACAGTGCTCAAAGAAGTGGCGCGTGACGGGCCTTTAGTGATCGAAATAGCCTCATTCTAACGGTACTGCAATCGTCTCCTCTGAATGATTTTGTTCGACTGACGCGTGTTTCTGTTGGAGCTCCGATCAACTAACAACGACGGCTGTCTTCTCCCCCTGCTCTGCTTTTCTGTTTTTTGTTTTGTTTATTTTATTATTATTATTATTATTGATTAAAAATGAGATAATGACACTCCCTGCCCAATCATTCCAAAGCTCCAACCTTTCTACAGAATAATTTCCATTAAAAGATGCAGCTCTAGTGGAGTAGCATTTTAGCCTATGAGATCGAAGGGTTCAAATTGCATCCCCAGGCTATGCTTCCATTGTAACCAAAATAAACAAGAAAAATTCCTCAAAAGATATAAAAGAGAAAAAATAGATGTCACTCTGCTTTGGTAATACAAAAATTTAAGAAACGGAGACATAATTAAAGAAAATGAAAAGTATTGCCGCGCAAAGCTTACACTGGCATAACATGAATCAATAAACAGAAAATAAATTTCAGTATACAAATTACAGACGCAACGTATGCCAAACAATACAAAGGAGCAAAAGATGGCCCAAAATCAAGTGGAAAAATAGTTCAAATTCTAAGAGAACATGATCTAGCATCTATAAACCGAAGGCATATGCAACTGCAATGAAAGCTGTGGCAATGTAGGACCATAGAGTAAGTGACCGAGGCCAACCATTAGCACTGCTGCACACATCATTGGCACCACTAAAGCAACCAGGCTTTGTTATCTTAGCTTCACCTCCCTCCAAAGTAAAGCTACTGTTGCTCTTACCATTACTGAACAACACACACCAAAAATAGGGACCCCCACCATCAGTTCCAGTAACTGCAGCCCCCACTTCTGTGTGATTTTTACTGTAGAGTATTTCTAAGCTCTTGCTGTCCTTCATTAGAATTTCTGAGAATGCTTTAGAAGGCTCAACATACTTAGACTGGCAGGCAACTAATCGGCCAGTGATCTTGCTGAGAGTTGAGGCCGTGACGCCACAATTGGGGGCAAAAGTATCAGCAAATTGAGAATCAAAAGGTTTCTTGGCATCATCTCCTCCTAAAACATTGCAATCCCCTCGGTATGCTTTTATGTACTGCAAAGCAATGCAGCCTAGGCCTGGGTTGTCATAGAGGGTTGGTTCCTTTTTTGCAGTTCTATTATTGTTAAGCGCAGCAACCAGTTGATCTGCCGGGTTATCGGTTACTCTTATTACATCTGTTACAAGGGAGGAAATGCAAACTTCATTAGAGCCCAAAAATTGAATAAAATAAAGCAACTGAAGTGTGCCGCAGGGACTTGAATCTCACAATAACTATCTTCACACATAACATCAGATAAAGTGCTCTAGATTTAGTTAGTGCAAATCAAGAGTCTGATTTTCGTTTTTTTAACATTTTGAATTGTGGTATGTTTAACCAATTTCTCTAGTTGTGGTTTTAGTATTTGTATGTAACAGTTCCCAGGATAAAATAAAAACCCAAGAGCCTGCAAAAGAAGCTAAACATAAGGACATCACAATATTTGAGAGTCTGTTTTAAAGCCAGCTTTGTTTAGCAAGCTTGTTCCATCCCATTCCTAGGATGAACATGAGTATCACTTCAGTTGAGCAATGCCATCAACTTGGTCATTAGTCCGTCGAAGATGTCATTCTCTTATTTCTTTCTTTCTTCATGCCATACACAGATCCGGGGACATGATCTTTTAAACATGAACCCATGACAAATTCCCAATGAAAGACAAAACTAAAATAATAGCATAGCATCCTCTTGTTTAAGACTAGCATAGTTGCATTACGCACAATAAAGCTCTAATTAGAAGGCCAAAGACTTTTATAAAATAATATAGATTTTCTGAGGAAAAATCAGTGCTTTTCTTATGGTTCCATTCCTCTGCCTCGTTTCTTGCAACAGTGGTAACCCCGGTGGAAAAGACTTGTTTTTGGAAGGTCAGATTTCAGTAAAAATTAACTGCGCATAAATCTCAACAATGTGGGTCTCATAGTCTCTTTTTGAGCATTTGTAATGGGGAGGGGAGGGGCAATTTAGTTACAGAACCTTACTGACCGTTGTGCATTGCAACGGTAAAGGCCATTGATGATCCATATTCATACTCCTGACAAAGAACAGAATTCTATCCATCTCCTATAATTGAGACTCTTCTATGTCTTTGTGCTGTTTTCCTTCCCACATTTATACATTTCTGTCTTATCCTTCTAATAGAAACAAATCTCACTCATTGAAAACTCATCAACTATTAGGAAGACCAACGAGTCTCCCACAGTCAAGCATACAAGTTCAGATCTTGTCTTAACTAACCAAACTTCAAATTTGCGTAGATATCCAACAACTAATCCTTGGAAACAACAGCCCTCTCTTATTTGCCACATTTGTATTTTTCATTTGGTTTCCAAAACTGGAAATTTCTTTCAACTAATTACATCAAATCACTCTCATAAAAAAGTAAAAAATAAATAAAGAAAGAAAAAAGAAAACTCCAAATCACTAAAGTTGGCTTTTGTAGACCAAGAACTAAAGAACCCAAGATTCAAAAACTGATTTTGTCTCCTTCCTCCAATAAAAATAAATAAATAAATAAATAAAATCTAAAGTTCTAGTATAGCAGATTTGCGCCTAAACTCTAAACTCAAAAGCAGAGATCTGTTATTATACTGTAACAATCAATACCACAACAACTACCAAGTTTGAACAAAGTACACTCAAATCTAAAAAAGCAATATTCAATGAAACTCATGACAATGCTAAACACTGGTTAATTAATGAAACCCCATGAAAACAAGTATACACATTCTAGAAATAACGCATCGTAATAAAGATGCCCACATAAACAAACAAGCAGATTTCCAAATTGGGAAAGCAGATCAAGCACAAAATACAAGTTGTAATTTCAAATCTAGTAACATATCAAGTACATTTATCATACACTATAACAGCAACTACTACTACTATATTTAAAAACAAAAGGAAATGAGGAGGCTTTTACTTACTGTGAATATGAGCAGAAGCAGAGAAGAAAAGAAGAGAAAGAAGAAGAAAAAATGTAGCCATTGTAGTTGGTTGCAGCTGTTGTCTAGTAAAGAGAAAGGAAGGGACTTTTAAAGAGGGAGAGAGAGAGAGAGAGAGCGAGAGGAGCATCTGGGATGAGTTAGTCAGTGATATGTCGACTTCTTGCTTTGGTTACGTTGCAACTAATATGGCTTTCTTTCTTATAACAAATTGCCGACATGTCACCAACTCGGGTTTTTCGGTATTATGTTTAAACCCGGTTTCATTCATTCTTGCCTTGATCCCATCGGTACCCTCGTTTACAAGGATGAGAATTTTTATAATATTAACAAGAATGAAAAAAAAAAAAAGTTGATGATAATAAATAAAATAATAAATAATGAAACTACAAGATTATAGTTTATAGGTAATTAGATTCAGGATTCAATATTTATAGTCAACATTTTGTTAAATTTATTTTTAAAATATTCGAATATATTGAGAAATATTTTTTATTTATATTCATAGAGAAATTAGTTCCGAAATATTTAAAAATTAATCTAAAGATACATTTATTATAAAAAATAAAAATAAATAAATAAATAGTGAAGAAAAATATAAATTCATTGAGATCAATTTTCAATATTAAAGGTTGTATTTAATTAGTTAAGATTGAAAATATATGCATTCAATCCAATAAATATGAAAAAAAAATTTAACGAATTAATAAAAATAAAAGGTGCAAATGTGATGTATTTAAACCTTTTTTTTTCCTTGTCCTTTATTGATACATTCTCCAGTCACCTATAAAGGATTATTATATGTTTTAAGAGAGGATGTCTACCTCTTTTGATTTGTTTCTTTATAATTGAATAACATTTGTGTTGAGGTTAGTTTGCCTTCTATTGAAATTCTTATTACTTGATTAAGGCTGGTTTAGTTACTATAATTAAGAATGGTTAATGATGGGTTAGATTCTAAATCCACTTAGAAATCTGCATATTGATAAAAGGAGAAAAAAATTAGTTATTGGAGATTTCACTAATTAGAATTCAGGTAAAACTGAAGGCAATATATATATGTATATAATTTCTTAGGAACATGATCGTACATCAATAAAAATATTTCACTCTTAGATTCGTACAAGTAACTAACCCGGCCTATTCTATAGTAAAAAACAAAAAGGGATAAGATCCTGTTTCCTTTATCTTCTTCCTCTAACACCCAACTGACTGGATCCACCCGATGCAGTGCTGTCGGCATGGCCACAATTAACAGCACCACCTCCTTACATTCTTCATCTTTCCCATGTTATTTTTCTCTTTCTTCAACCAAACCAATCATTAAGCTGGGTAGTCGAGGAGTAATCAGGTGCTGCGCATTGAAGTCGTCCTCCACCGCCCCAAAATGGCAGGACCAGAGCAGGCGTGCATTGCTTTCCATCTCTCTACTTCTCTCTCACTCGCTCTTGGTCCTTGACAGTATACAATATCATAAACTTATTTCTTTTTATTGTTTTTTGGACGAAAAGTTTAATCTAGTAATAGATAACAGTACTAATTCCTATTGCTTCTTCTCTTATTCAACAAACGAACATGCATTCCCTTTTAAAAAGACTGACTCTGCATGTGATGTGAAGGGCTTGTGCTTGTCTTCCTTTTGAAGAAACGACAAGTACTTGTAGCCAGGGTTGCTTCAAACTGAAGTCTTATTAATTAATAATTACTGCCCCGTTCTGTTTTTAACTTTTTTCTTTTCGAAAAAGAAATTGAAAATTTTGAGTTGTTGGTTGATTTGGGCTAATTTTATTGAATTTGAGTTTTTTTTTTTTTTGGGTTCACTATATGTTTTGTTTTGCAGATGCTTTTGCTGTCAGTCTTTTCGATAAGTATGTTAAAAGGTATGATTGATTAATGAGGACAGATTTTGGTATTAACTTCTGAATGGAAAATCTAAAACCAAATCCATATGGTCATTGGATGTAGTGATAGAGAAGGTGTACAGGGAACTGCCTGAGGTCTAAAGATTTCCAATTCAATTTTAATGTTTTATATAATTGACTAGACTCAAAACTTGATTAAATATTGACAGATTGTCAATGGCTTGCCTGCTAGTTGAATGAAACTCCAAATTTTTCCAGCACTATATAATGTTCCTTGATTACTATGTTAAGATGAACTACGACTGAGATCAAGTCTTGCCTGATATTTGTTTCATTCTATGAGTGCTTGTACCTCTATTACTATCAGAACTAATTCCTTTCCTAAAATTTTTAACAGGAAAAAGCTTGATCCACTAGAGGCTTATGTACCTGCTGTTATATTGACTGAGTTGCAGATTAAGGATTTAGGTAATTCCTTGCATCGCTAAATTGTTTCCTTCCTGTGGGAACTGGTGGAATTAAGAGATGAGGCCAATTAATGGTGTCCGAAGTTGTGCAACACTTGTTACTCGATTCTGTATTTCTGATTAACTCATTTCAAAAGATTGAACACGCACAACAAGGATGTCCCTGCATCCTCATACTAAGAAAGAAACTTGAACTTGATTAAGCCTTGAAGAAGATATTGATAGCTTACCATTATGATTTATTTTGTTCCTTAACTACTGTAGAGAAAATTCTGGATGTCGATCAACCCCAATTCGCTAACTATCGATCTCTGTTACGTTCTGGTCCGGCAGCGTCTCTTCGTGTAAATATACGAGCAGTAAGTTGTCTTCTCAAGCATTATTCATTTTGTATCTTATTGCTTGTGATAATATTTTTTATTATGGGAGATTTTTTATAATTCATTAAATGGTGTTTTATCTATTTGGATTTTAGATGCAACTTAAATGAATGGAAAGTAATAAATTACCACTAAGTTGTCTTCAAAAAAGGAACAATATGATTATAAAGAGATAAGATGTAACTTTTTGCTTATTCTCTCAACTGTCAGAAAGACTTCTACAACAATAATGGGAAAATGAGGTATAATTTCACCATGCATGCTCCTTAAATTTGAAGTTTGAACTGACAGTGAACTCAGTGGTCTGATCCCTCTAAAATCTTGAATTTGAGATTCGACCATGAAATCAACTGGACAGTGGACATTGTTCCTCTAGTGAAATTCAAGAAGCTTAGAGGTTTTCTAATTCAATTGGATGGTTCAAGCAGAATCAACATTGAAGTATCATGCTACTGTTCAGTAATTTTTTTCCTAGTATCCTTAGAAACTCTTGCCATTGTGAGGTGAGATGGCAGTTCTGTTTCTAAAACTGCATGAGGATGGTAGTAGTCTGAAACTTTAGATATGTTTAAAAGAATATGCAGCATTTTAGAACCCAGTTAATTTTTGCAAGATTAATTTGGTAGTGTGATAGCAAAATGGGGTTTTCCAATTTGTTAAGTTATGGAGGATCCCATTTGAATGGCGCAGGCTTGGGTTAAAAACTCCGACCCTGACATAGAGATTATTAGCCTGTAAACCATGCTTGATCATTACAACTTGCTATCAAACAATCGGTCTTGCATTGAGATGGTCGGTGTCATTTGAAAGCCTATGTTTAAATAAGATATCCAAAGAATCATTTTCTCATCTGGATTTGCTTTATGGCAGTTTTTCTGTACATGAGTTCCTGAGGTTTTGGAAATTTTCTTCGGAACTTCAGGTAGCACAATATGCTTCAGATGCTGGAAATGGTAACGCTGCTTTCAACAATGTTGATCAATGTCTCAGGTATCTGCCCAAATCTCTCTGCTACACATGAAAATGGAATAGTCATAGGTGTCTTCCATACTGTTTCGAATGGATTTGTACGTGTTCTCTGCACTCTGGCCTTCCTAGTTGTGGATCACAGTAAAATTACTCCACTTAAGAGAGGACCACTGGGATAAAAACACACTGTTGGCGACAGTGGAAGAACAACAAAAATTAAGATGCTTCATTGATACTATAACTTTCTGCTGGCTACTATGACAAGAAAAAAACATTGAGAATGGTTTTGATGTTTCATTGAAAAATGCTGCGCTTGGAAAAAGCTATCGAAATGGCAAGCGGGCCAAATGAAGACCCAAACTACACAGAATAGCGTTGGTGTGGATAATGAACGTCCAAACAAACTGCTGACATAAATATATTGTCCACCTTTTTAGTGCTTTGGAAGAACTTGATTCCTTGCTTCTGCATGCATCAAGAAAGGAGCCAGATGCTTCAGTTGAATCGATGAAGGTAAAAATAGGAGTCGCCCTTGCTGCCCTGGAAAGGTAATTATAGAAGTGGCTTTTTGCAACCTCCAAGCATTGCAATGATGTGCATTTGACTAACGTATTCTTGTTTTCTGATATTGCTCGTTTATTTCTCCTTGTCAATCAATACCTTTAATACAAATTAACTTCCTTCCCTCATGCTCTCTTTACAGCCTTCTCCAAACTGTCCCTTCTGATGTGTTAGATAAAGGGAAGGCTGTTGCGGATGCTTACAGAACCCCAGAAGAAAATTCAGAAGCTGAAATCTTAGACCCAGAATTGAAACAGTTGGAATCTATCTTATGACTCTTTTTATCATATTATGGCATTTTCTTCTCTTCTTTTTGGTTCAAGTACTCTAGACTACAGATCAATGATATCCAAAACTAAGAACTTTTGTACTCATCAATCTTCTGTTTTGAAATAATTGTATCAATAGTACAATGCATCATATCCAAACACACCTACTCGCTCAAAAAATGCTTATTATCAGGTACCTCTAGAGTTCCAGTTTCTACAGCCTCACACGACATTCATGAACAGCAACTGATGACAATAATATGAAGTTATAAATTAATCCCTCTATCTTTTAAAAATCAATTACGGTAGTTGCTAAACTTGTGTTTAATTCAATTTTACTTTATTTCAAAAAATATCATTTTTTCTCATAGATTCTTCTATATTTTTTTATTTAGTTTTTTTCTTAAAATAAAAAAAAATCAAAACAAATAGAAAAGGAGCAAAAAGTATTAAATTACAAGAAACTTAAAAATACAGACTAAATAATAAATTTTTGAAAAAATAAACTAATTAATTCATTTCTAGAAACTAGAGGGACTACTTTCTAATTTACTGGAACAATATGCAATGCAATTGTTACTCCCGACGGTAACCAAAAAGAAAACGGTAACAAAGTTACCCTATAGAACAAAAATAAAACCAAATTACTCTAAAAGCCCAATCCCAACACAAGGCCATGAGAGAGCCAGGCAAGTGGAAAAACTTGACACTGCACACACCCTTCGAAAAATAAACGCTTCAAATTGAATAGTATTGGACACAGAGAATGAAAATTTATTGTATTCTTACAATAGGCCAGCTATTACATAAAACCTATATACTTGGAACAAGCATCAACGGGATAGAAGAACATTTACAATACAATTGTGTGAAATGTGGATATCACACAACAAACAGGCTGCTACTTCAGTCGAAGTGAATCACCACTGGAGAATTGATAAAAACAATGAGGAAAATCATTCACATCACGAGGGTGACAGGCTGCTAAAGACACGCTTTAGACTCGGGCATGCTGCGCGTAATCTGCCCATGCTTATTGAGCATATCTGGGGGAAATCAGAACAAAAATAAGTTCAATTAGTAAACTTCTATTAGGCGAGACAGGAAATAGAGCAAATCAAATACCTTATTTCTGATAACGAGACAATAGCGTTCCCAATTTTTGTAAGAACAGAGTTAATAAAATGGTGATCTCACCTTCGGACAAAAACGTACATCAAGAGTCTCCAGCATGCCACATTGAGATATGGCAGCTTCAACAGCTTCTTCATCAATGTTGCAAGACTGCAACAATTAAAACAGAAGCAAAAAACAGCATTAGATGGGAGCATTTTGAGATGCATTGTCCCAAAAGCTAAAATGGTAATTGGCCAAAAGAGATGGATGGCTAGGGCAGCTCTCCCCTGCAGGAGAAGAGAAAGGCAAAGAATCGAAATCTGAGGAAAATGTAGGAACATTACACGCCAAACCAAAAATCAAGTGATCCTCACAATTGGTATTGAGGAGGTTGCCAGGTTTTCTTACACATTTACTCCCTCAGGAGAGTGATTCTCTCTAAAAGATAGTGCACCATATACATCTATAGGCAAGCAGAACTGCAATAAGAATGTATCCGAGCTAACTAATGTGGTACCAGATTGAGAGCTTCCCCAAACCCAGGTAAAAGCAAGCAAATGAATTAAATAGCAAAAGAAAGTTAATAGCCACACTATTTGTTTCCTCCATTATCCAACTTAAATGCTATTTTTTTCCAATTTCCCCTTAATATATAATAGGGGTAAGCCGAAACAACAACCAGATCCAGGAAATCATTGAAAATCAGAAAAGCACATACCTGAAGAAAAAGACTAGTCAACCTTGGACACTCAAGCTTCAATATTTCCAAGGAACAACAATTGCTGAATATCATACACAAAACAGAAAGATATTAGATATAGAAAAACATAAAATTAATAAGAAAGAACCTTAAACAACATCAACAAATAGGAGCATACCTCAAATTAAGAAAGCACAAATTAAAACAAACAACATCAACTTCCTTCAAATTGGCAGATAAAGAAAGGTTTAGCGAAGACAGATGCAAACAACGGGCCACTGGTGGAATGACAACTTTCCTAATATTCGGACAACCAACACAGTTTAGGTTCTGCAATAAGCGATTTGGCTGCTCAGTTGGCACAGGACCTTGCTTTGCAGTTGAGTTTAAGTTGCTTGGCAACTCAGAAAGCTGACCACCACTGCATCCCCAATTCAGATCATGCATATTTACACAGCCATTCAAGCTCAAATGAGTAAGGTGTCTACAACAAGCCAGAAGCTCTTCAATTGCAGATTGACAGAGGGTCCCATAAGACAAGTCCAATTCCTGAAGTGCGGGAAGAGCTCCATCCTTATAAAGCGGCTCCAATGATGAGTCAGTAAGATATTTGCATGCTTGTAATTTTAGTACCTTCAAGGTGAAGAGGTAAAAGAAAATAAGTCAGTAAGGGCAACAACTCCATAAACCGCTCATTGAACCATAAGGGAAAAAGCAGATCAAATGTTTAGGTCAGCCAAGGATACAAATTCAGCTTAAAAAATAAAAATCAGCTCAAGATGACCAAACCATAACATTCCTCAAACGCTTATCTTTTGAATAAATAGACAGGATGAAATTGAATCACAAGCAATTCAACATGTTTCAGTAAGAATTTAGCATGTAAGAAGGAGCTCTTTTGAATGATCAAATTACATAAGCAAGTGCGTTATAGTATAGTAAAATAGACCTCACTAATCCAATAAATGTACAATTTTTTTATTAGTGTGACCCAGTTTTATTAGAATTCAATTGACAAAGGTGAGACTCAAACCTAAGACCTCAACCCTCATACTCATGCAAGAGTCAACTGAGCTACAAGCCCATTGGTTATCGATGTACAAATTTACAGCAACTGAAGTGCACAGCATGTAGGCAGTAGAAGCATGCACGCTAACATTGTAAAGTACCTTCAGTTGCAAACAAGAGTCAAACACTGGCTTCAGATTCATCAAAAAAGTGTATGACAAATCAAGCACAGTCAAATGCAGAAGCCGCCGCAAAGAAAATAGCCCATCAGAACCAACAGAAGGGCAAGACATCAAAATCAATGACCCAATAAGGGGGCAGGATTCAGTAGTTGCAGACAAGCAGTCATCCTTGAGTTGGCTGAATGTAAAAAAAGAAAAAACAGATGTCAGTCATAAGACATTGAAAGGCACAGCCAAAAACACTACTAGAAAGTAACATGACCTGCAAAATGAAGCATCCAGAGATGTCAAGAGAGGGCAATTAATAGATGCTTCAGATAATACACCACATCCTTTCAACTCAAGGGACACCATGCATGGTGCTTCAATGGTAAGCATGTTCAATTTGGGACAAATTCCCAAATTGAGTGACCGGAGAGCAACCTGAAAAGGCGCACAATATTTCAGTTTGCCATCAATTTTGTTTTACATAATACACCTTCTGTATCAATGATTCCCACTTACTGGACAAAATGATGCTTTCTCAAGATGATCACAGCCATCCAAACAAACAAGCTCAAGAGAAGGGCACGCCAGATGAAGAGCAGTAATAGTACGGCAACCAACTAGAGAAAGACTAACTAAAGAAGTGCTGCAGAATTGCACAGCAGTCAAGCTCTGAAAAGTAAAATCATCACACTCAGTTAAAGGCGAAAAAAACAATCACAACTGCAGAAATAATAGCTAAGCTTCAGTCAACAAGTCAAAAACCAGAATGGCAAAAAACCATATGTTTGAAATGGTCAACCAAGAAGTAAGAGCTCCATTCACCTGGGCACATCAACATTCAACGAACAGCTAACAGAGAATATTATTCATCACCAAGACGGTTTAAAAAGGGTGAACTTATTGCATTACTACATATCCAATGATGCACTATGAAGCTTAATCTTTTAAATCAGAACGCAGCTGCTTCTCCCTGCCCTATTCCTCAAAAGTCGTCCACTTATTAACGTACTTGCTCTGACTATATTATAAGTCATTTTGACGACCCAATATTCCCCATGAGTGATTTGGAATTGCACTCTTTGTATTAACGAAGTCCAATCCAAATTCTATAGAGTATCATCAAAAGAAGTCCACTTATTAATGTAAATGCTCTGAACCTATTAGAAGTCATTTTTCACTACTCCCATATGAGTGATTTGGAATTGCACTCTTCGGATTACTGAAGTCCAATCCAAATTCTATAAAGACTACCATGGACATCAGTCATGCATTCTTTAGAGAAGCATATGACCATGTCTGATTAATTTGCCAGTGGAGCTCCATCTTCAGAGTTTGTCATTACTGAAAAGGACAACCCATCTAAAATAAATCTCAATCCAAACTAGTTGGGGTTGGTTATATGGCTCATTCTCCTCCATTTAATTTGTCATATTGGAAAGACGGTTTTAAAAAATAATTTCACTTTCAGAGCATGAGTTAACCTATACACTATCTGATAAGAGAACAATGCAAATCCAGAAAATCTTTTCTGCAAACTTATCCTTATTGAAGGCATAAAAAATTGGAATTCTAATACAATAAGACCACCAGCCACCATTCTTCCATTATAAGAATGATGGCTCCAAAAGAGAACAAAACATGTGAAAGATAATAACAGTACTACAGTACCATGATCCCTTATCATGCACGCATCAACCATGGTCAGTTTTCACAAATGCATAAACCAAACAGACAAAAAAACCCTAATTCACAAACCTCGCAGTTATCAAGAACCAATGATTTTAGCATAGGGCATCCTCCACCATCACTAAAAACTTCACAAATAGAATTAGTCAAAGATTCACAATCTGTGAGGTCCACTTCTTGCAAACATTGGCACTGTAATGCTAATGTTGTTAGGTTTTCCTGCTTCTGCAATGCTAATTTCTGCAAATCAAGAAACAAATAAAGAGAGTTGCTACACTGATAAATGATGGAGGAACGCACAGTGGATATGCAGGAGCCTTCTGGCGAAACATACTTGAAGCGAATTGGAAGTGATATTGATATGATGAAGAGCTGGGCAATTAGACACCATTATAGACGATAGCATGCTACTTCGCAAGTTTAGATCAGCAAATCTGCAGGAGGAGGAGAAGCAACATAATATTACTTCAACCAAAACAAGGAAGAATAAACGTCTTACCATCCAAAGGATAGGAATGCTTCTCAAGATTTGAACGGTGGAATCAAGGAACAGACGAGTATGCTTACTTTCGACAATGTACTAATCTTATGTTTTGCAAGCGAGGAAGATCCAAGGACACAGAAGTCAAAAGACTGCAATTGTCAAGCTCCAAAACCTACAATAAATTACAATGCAAATGCTCCAAGTTATTTTTAGAGGACACAAACATCTAGACAAGACCAACATGCAAAGCAAGAGAATTTGAACCTCCAACATATAACTATGAGCAATCGCAGACATTGAAGCTGAAGTGATGCCCTCACAGCTATGAAGCTTGAGAACTGTCAACATTGGCAGCCTAACAGACTTCAAAGAGAAAAGAAGGAAGCTTATCATCATGTCAAACAGCAGCATATGCCCATTTAACCAAACAAAAAATGGAACTAATTTAGAGGAACCAACCTCAAGTGATATGTTTGGACAATAAGATGCATTAAGAATGTGGAGATTAGCACAAGTCAGGGCTATTTCACGTAGTGTTTCATCACTCACACAAGAACAATTCGACATGTCTAAAGACTCTAATTGAGGGCATGAAATTGCTGCTGAACGGATTGCTGCATCTGTAAGCTTGTGGCAAGACCCTATGTCAAGGAGATGCAAGAGAGGACAATTCAGCACAGCCTGTGCCATGTTGCTGCGTTTCAAAGACAAAGTTTTAAGTTGTGGACACCTGCAAAAGATGCATCTTAGCACAAAGTTTGAGCAAACTAACAAAATTTTGATTAAGAGCTTGACAGTGTTCCACCTGACAGATATCCTCATCACACGGCACTTTGTTAGTTGAAGATGACGCAATCTATCATGGTTTATAGGTATCTCCTGAATACCACTACCCAGAGTAGCATCATTGACATTCAACCTCTTCAACATGATACAATCTCCCAAGGCATGAAAAAAGGGATCCCCCAGCTGTCCTTTTCCCAAGGTTAAAGTCTCAAGATTTCTGAAATCATTTACAGATATTAGCAGCAGCTATGAGTTATTACTTAACCATAACAATGATGAACAAAATGAATATACCTTAAAGAAAAGACTGCTTTCATAACAAGCAAGTGAATAGCAGGAGCACCATAAATATTCACTTCGGTGGCATTCGGGTATCGCCGAGACATATCCTCAACTACAAATTCATATTAAATACAATCAATTTTATTCCAGAATCATTACTTGACAATGAGTAGGGACAGAGACAAAAAGTGCTCCTTTTATAATACAATACACGTAACTGCTTTCATTTGTAGATCATAAAATTTAATTGTCAAATATAAGTAGGGTAAAATTGCATGCTCAACAAGTCTTTAATCAAATTCATAATTTCGGAATGCTATGCTTGTATACTTTATTCTTTAAATATATAGTCCATTCCACATATATGACATCTGATTTTTAACCGATACATCCATTCTTATTTATCAAACACTGATTCAAAACTCACTTATTTAATGATTTATCCAAATAAATTCTATAAAAAAGAACAAGACACCCACAGTTGCACATCAATTGAGGTGAATACCAGCATTAAGTAGAAATACACTGGCAATGATGTGTGTGACCCACCGAACAAGCAATGCATATCTAGCCTCAAGGGTTTTTCCAACATAAGGAGTATCACATCTATCCATTTTTAAAAAAACTTCTGCATCTACGCTATTCACTACTTTTTGTTGCATAACATTTATTTCGCACAAAGTTTTTCATAGGCTGTAGTAATAAAATGAACCCCCCTCCCAAAAAAAAAAAAAAACATAAGGTGCCCTATGTTATGCATCAAATTTGGGTAAGAAATTGCAGGGCACATTTGCAGGCTTTCCATTTTCCAATATCCAATCATTCTTAAGATGCATAGGAAAAAAAAAAAAAAAAAGAGTTAACATTAAAGCCATATGGTGATACAATTGACAGGGATGCGTGAGGGAGAGAGGATGAGGACAAGCTCCTTTCAGTTTTTCAAAACCATGTCTCTTCACAATTCTAAAATATTCCACCCCATATGCAGAAGGAAGGTAGAGTAAGAGATTTAGCAGAAGGCAATAAGTAGAACTCACATTGTTCTACAGATATGTTCCGATTCTTAAAATTCAAACACCTCCAGAAGTCTTCATGAGCACTAGCTGCTCGCCACTGCCTACAAACCATTGCAGCCCGAGAAAGATTAATGTGGTCCAAGAAAGAGAAAACCTGGGTAGGAAAAGGATAAAATTAGACCTAAGATGGAAGGATGCTGTGATGCAAATATCTCTTAAAAAGGATCTAAACGATGCACTTTACCATATGCAACAAGTCATCGGTAAGATCCATCCTAACTTCTAAGTCCTCTGACTTGGAAGTGCCACTATCATCACCATCATCTCTCCCACCATTAGAATCAAATGGATTCTCATCACTGTTGTTATTCCACATGAAGTTACGATAAAAAATCTCATTATTCGATGGAATTGAAGAGCTCTGACTTAAACCAAGGTGTCTATCTGCTGATGTAGTAGAATTGCCAGCATCTGAAGACATTACTGCAGCATAATGACAATCACTGCAGAAAAACAATTATCCATCATGCAGGAACAACATTAAAACCATGAAGCATTGCATACACTCTGAAAGAACTCATTTAACATGCGCATCAACTGATCCTAATCAGGCATGGCATAAAACGCTGGTGGAGACCATGCTATCAAAATATGAAGGTAAGTTTGAAATGTGGTGTCCAAATGAGAGTATATGTTATCAAGCTAAAGACCAACAAAAGAAATGCCTTACTTACAAGTTAACCAATAATGCTACTTACACTTCAACAGTCAAAGAAAATCTAAACCTACAAATCCAGAAGGCACGTAAAATATAATGTGGTTTATCGCGAATTCTTAAACCAAAATGACAAATTGTGGAAAAACATTAATTTCAAAAACATGATCAAGTAGCATACACCCCAAAAAAGCAGAAAAGCATTGAATCATCATCCAAAAAACACTGCAAGTTAGAAACTACATATATATATAAGCTACTATGGCAGAATGAAACATAAAAGAAGCCACAAAACAATCAGAAACAGCAATGCAGTCCAATCCATAGAGATTCAACCCCGATGAAACACAAAACAAGTTCAGAACTCACTCAGAACAGGAGTAAACTTTAGCCCTTTTATTATGTGAATCACGATCACTCTCCTCACTACCACCACTCCCCGCCGCCTCCGGCACTGCAGAACTACTACCACTACTCTCTCCCCGTGCCAGCCAAGAGGCACAAAAAGCAGAGCTCCTCAAAGCAAGAGGAGGAGCCAAAAATTGACCCTCTTCCTCGAAACCCGGTCCCACCTCTCCCCAATTATCCGTACGGATGCTGCCGCCGCCGCCGCCAAAACCGCCACGAGCACGTTGCATCGCACCAATCATTTCCTCAATCCACCCCACTGACTCCCGGCCATTACGCTCACGGCTGATATCTCTCAATGCAATCGCCTCAGTATCCTCCTCCTCCTCGTTATTTCCAAAATTGCCCTCGGTTCTACCTTCATTTTCCGAAATGCCCTCTTTCATGGCTTTATTATTCTTCTTCTTCTTTACCGAAAATGAAGCACGACAAACACCAAATCTTCATGCAATTCAAGGTAAAGGTAGTACCTTTACTCACACAAAAAACCCTAGGTCACGATCTTGTGCATTTCTAGTACAAGTTTAGAAACAAAATCCCTAATTTGAAGAAATGAAGTGAAGAATTGCAAATTCGTGGTGTCAAAACTGTAAAATCGAGCTTTGAATTAGAGTAATAAGAGTGTGAAAGAAATGAACCGATCGGTGATGATACGTGGAAGGAGAAACGAAAAGGAAAGCTTTAGAGAGAGAAAGTTGGAGGTATTTTAGAAAGAGAAATTGATTTTGAACGGATCTGATCGGATCTTGTAAGCTCTAATTCGTTGAAGATTGTTTTTTTCTTTCGGAAGAGAGACTTGGGGGGGGGGGGGGGGGGGGGGGGGGGGGGGGGGAGGAGAGAGAGAGAGAGAGAGAGCGCGATCGGCGTTTATGGTGATACAATCTCTGAATTCTTTACTTATATGGAAAGGGTCCATTTTTTTTCCATTAAACGATGACGTTTTTGAGGAGGCTACATGTTTAAAACGTTACTAGTACTTTCCTTAACAGTATAGTTAAAGGCAACTTAATGATTGCATTATTGAATTTTAAGCAAAATTTTCATTATTTTTTTTAAAATGAAAATTATTAACTGTGAATTAACAAAAAAAAAAAAAAAAAGCGGTCTAGGGATGGTAATTTATGTTTTTTTTAAAGGATTATATATATATTTTTAACTCACTTTCACTTGTCGAAGTAAATTTAAACAAATCAAAGATAATAAAATTTTTTCACTTTGTGACTTGAGATGAAGAAAAGCGACTGGTGATATATATATATATATATATATATAACTTTTGCCGTTGAAGAATAATGTTGTTAGTATTTATATTATTTTGGGTATGAAAAAACAGCAGAGCAAATCATGCATGTTTTATGTTCGCCCTTAATTGTCTGTGCTTGCCTTAATAAGTTTAGTGGCGCCCATGCTAGTGTTTTCCTTATGGTTACGGAAACTTACAAAGAGTATACTTGAATTTAGACAATTCACCTTGAAAAAAAAGTGGGTGGGTGAAAATATTCTTTTTAATTTTTTGGCTGTTCAACAAATGATTTTGTTGGTGTATAGTTGTGCTCTACTATCATTTTGGGCATGCAAAAACAGTAGAGAAAATCACGTATCTTTTTGTTAATTAATGGCAATGTTTACCCTTTCAAACCAATCTCGCATGTGAGTTGACATACTAATTGCGGTCATTTTTTGCTTCTTGTTGATGCAGCATCATGGTGGCTCTCGCCCGTAAATAAATTTTGCACAGAAATAATCTAAAGTTAGACTTCGAAAATTTTCTACTGTCACCCTTTCAAGTTTTTCTTCCACATAATTAAACAACAACCAAACATGTCCTCTATGAACTTGCCCCGAGACCAAATAGAGGAAACCTCAAATCACTTATCAATTTGTCCACCAATTCTCAATTGGGTCCCTAAACTTAATCTCAGTTAAGTTTTCAAATTATTAGACATTTCTTCATTGTGTGGTTTCATCCACATTGTCAATTTCTTTGTGATGCGGGCAAGCATGACTTAGCGATTGCATATGTGATGGCTTCTTTTAGTGAAATAGATTGGAATATTATAACTATATTTTATTTGATTATTGCAAAATGGAAAAAAGCCACCTCTCATTGTTAATTTAAGACTCAATGAGATTTTTCGATAAATTAAAAAAATAATCAATATTTTTTTGTCGTGTTATATAATAAAATTATATAAAATGGCAATGATTTCAGATAGAAAGAATAAATTGAAAAAAGAGTTTGACATATTAGGGATGAAATTGGTAAAAATAATTGTTTTAGAATGAAGCTGAGAAAGAGGTAGCATAACAGGGATGAAAATAAGGTTTCTCCTTAAAATAGATATCAGCAACCTTTGAGGCCGGCAGCAGCCAGCATCCTCGTCTAACGGCCACCGAGGGAGCTGCATTGTTCCCAATAAGCCTAACATGCCTAGTACAATAAATTAACAGCTCTTTCTTTTTTTGAACAAAATTTTGCATCTCCCACACTAACTTCAGTAGTGGCAGTTGATAAATTTAGAATTAAAATTGCCCACTCCAAGATCATTACTTTCATTGCAAACAGGATATAGCCTAATCGTCAAAGCTTCTGTCATTTATGCATGCCTCGGATACCAAGTTACCTATCTCTTTTTATTTCTCGAGAAGTTCATTTCTTTTTATCAAGGGGGAATTAATCTTTTTATTTTTTATTATTCTCCTTGATTCCTTTGCATTCGTTAAGAGGCTCGAGAGTGTTAAATAAGTAGTACGGTGATAGGTTGGCAACAGAGGAACATGGAGGTTCCTCTTCATCCTATAAATCCATGCCCAAAAAAAAGTTTAATGCAACATGTTAAAATTGTCATTTTGATCGCCATAATGATTCACGCCGATGCCCACCATTGCAATTAATCTCCAACATCATAATGATTATAAGGTTGCCGCTGTCATTCCCACACAGACCAACCCAAAAGCACCTTACCAAAATTTACGTGACTCTTCGCTTGGTTTACTTTAAATTTACAGACTGGAGTTGCATGCAATAATTTTTCCACAATCAAAAGGTTTTATAACTTCTGTAGAAAATTTTAATTCGATAACACAAACATTTACATTTGTTTTTTAAACTTCCAGGAACAGTAGAGAAAACACAAATGAATCATTGCACTCTCGACGCCAATGGAAGAGAATTTACATGGTATATGCAAAGTAGAGAGAAGAAGAGTATATTCTAACCCTCTTTGAAGTTGTCAAACCCTGTGTCTCTTTTTCAAGAGATGAGATTCCATCGTCCGATTTCATGATTGAAAAGTCTATCTAACCAAAGGACAAGATGGGTTTATACTTTACAATTGCAATAAGGTGGGGTTTATGTGGGTGGGTCCCGTTAACCCTGGCAAGGAACATTGTCCATTAATCAGAGGTTTTCAAGCAATGGGATAGGCGATTCCTGAAGTCTTCAAGGGACCCAGTGAATTGCCACGAGTCACGAGAGTCGTCTTTTTAAGTGGGCCCCTTTTTCTTCTTCTTCCTTTTTTTTCTTTTTTGTATAAACAGAGAATTACCATAAGTACAACCATAATTAACTTTAGCAACTTGTCATGAATCCTAATCCAACGTTATTCATGTAGTTTTTCTTCTAGTGAAATGTATTTGTTTGTTACCACGAGTGGGTCAACGAGGCATGCAACTTTGTCTCGACTTTATATATATATATATATATATATATATATATATATTATCTTATTAACAAAGATAATTTAATAGTAAAGTTTGTAATTTTATGTTTACCGATTCTTATATTCAACCATTATCAATTTTTTTTTTAATCATCATCACAAAGCCAAAAGCCTATTTCCCTAATTTTAGTTCAAGTTTGTAAAAAAATTTAAAAAACTTGTTGCCGTCTAATTACAGCAAGACTAAAGTTGTCTATTTTAAATCTAGTATACAAATGCTTATAACATTTTTTTCTTTTTAGAAATTTGATAATTTATCATGATAATAATATTACCATGACAAGTCATTTTTATCTTTTTATCGTTGATTTGGGGTATGTTTGATAACCTATTTAAGTAGCTTAAAAAATTAAATTATAGTAGTTAATATAAAAAAGTTTGTTTGATAACTTAAATAATCTCATTTTTAAAATTTAAATTCAATCAAAATTCACTTAATTAGGTACGATAAAATTTTTAACTTAAAACTTTTTACTTAACACGCTCGGTTGAAAAATTTTCAAATTTTTTTTAATATAACAATATAATCCTCATATATTCTTATAACCCTAACTATACAAACCGATTGAGATCCCCATTGCCAAAACAAAGGAAGACATGCTTGGCTGGAATAATTTTGGGGCCATCAAAGTTGTTTTGTCCTTGTTTGGAAGACATTCTTCTTGAATAATGTGGATGAAAAAACATACTTGGTTCTTTCCTTTCTTTTCCCAAATTGTCTATCTCGTGTTTTGAAAGATGAACCGCTTGGGATGGGATGAGATTTGCTTGAACCATAAAGATCACTTTTTGCAAGAGCCGCACCGTAAGGCATTGGAGTTAGGGTGGTCCGTGACTTTCCTGATTGCCCAATAGGTATGTCACTCTACAAACAAATTGATAATACAATATCCACATCTAGTATTGGACCTAGAAATATCAGCAACAAAAGAGTTGGAAATTTGGACTCTTCAAATTGACCAAGTAAAGAATAAATCTACAGGACCCAAAAGTAACATGTAATCAAATGAAATTTGGACATTGAAAGCTACATAAAATTCAAGGAGCTAACATTTTAGAAGTACAAATCTATAGTGGGGAGCAACCATTAAGCACAATAAGCAAGAAATGTTTGCTCACAATCACAATTATCCTAGTTGACACATATGGTAGGATCAAGTTTCTCAAATTACAAAACCTTTTTTCATGTTAAAGCTGATGCCTAGTAGCTTCATAAAAATAAAATAAACGGTAGTAATACAAACAATTGCTCAAACATTGATGAGAATTCAAGGCAACTGAAAATTGTTTTAGAAATTGAAAATTTTGCTAGGAAATAACTAGTATTAAAGTTTGAGTAACTACCTTCAACTATAGGCAAGTTTGCTAAAAACAATATCAATGCAAGTAGTGTTGCTTTCATTATCTCGTCAAATCCATCGATTACCAATCTAATAGGATTCGATAATGTGTTAGAAGTAGCCTTGAGCCCAAACGTTGTTGTGCTTAGGTGGAATTTCGACATCTACATAAGAACATCACTTAGAATATGCCAAAATCAAACATCAAATACGGATTATTAAGCAAGCATCCAAATCTTGACATTTGATTTTTGAAAGGAATTTCTTATCGGGACATTTACTATTATCAACGAGTACGCCTCAAACCTATTCCATCTTTTATCTCATTTTTTCATGGAGATTTAACAACTCTACGGGATCGAACCGTGTTTATCCGATTAATGGCATAGATAGATGAGTAGCCAAGAAGAAAGTTCAACGAAAAATTATGCCGAGCCACAAGATGTAGGAGATAGGAATTTAAAATCATAAGTTTATGGTTGGTATAAGTTTTTGAAAACCAAACTCCAAAAGTATTGGAAGAATGGAAAAAAGATGTTCGAAGGTTTTTTATGCAATGCCTAATAAACATACTAATTTACTAATTCAGCGAGAGGAGGGTCTCAAGTATAAGTCGATCAAACATTTATGATTAATTTACGAGATTTAACTCGCAAATGAATTTATTAGTACTTGAGCTTTTATTTATTTTTTACATGATAGGACAATTAATACTATCTTAGATCGTGTTTAATTTTTTATTAATAATCATATTTATTTATTTATTTATTTACACATACACACACACACATATTTATATTTGTGTTAAAAAATGTCATATTACAATTGCAAGGTTAAAATTATCATGTATATAGTCTTAATATATTCAACAACGAGTACTTATCAAACAACTTTATTATATTCAAGTGTCGTTTGGTAATCGGGAATAGAGTGAAAGGAATAAAAATACGTAAATCGAAATAAAAATTAAGGAATCGGAATGGTATTTGTATTTTCATACTATGTTTAGAATACTAATGAGGAATCGAATGCAATTTAAAATTTTCAATATCTCATTTTTTATACAAATAAAAATAATGATTAAAAAAATAATTCTATTAAACTATAATGGTTGTAAAAATAATAAAGGTGATGATAGTGATTTTGGTTATGATGGTGGTGGTGGTGGTAATGATTGCGGTAGTGGTAGTAGTTGTGATGGTTGCGGGGACAATGGTGGTGGTGGTTGTGATGGTACTGGTGGTAGTGGTGGTAGGTGCGATGGTGATGGTTGTGGTGGTGGTAAAAACGGTTAATAAATAATAAATAAATAAAATATATTATTATTTTGAAAAAAAATTCATTCTCATTTCTTGTTTTTATTCCCTCATCTTATGTGGGAATAAAGTTATGTGTAAATTTTCACTCCCATTTCCACTTTATTCCTTTTAACCAAACAGCTACAATGTGGGAATAAAACTTCCATTTCAATTCTCACCACTCTATTCATAATTACCAAACAGACACCTCGGTACTTAATTTTCAATAAATAACAAACAGACTTGTCGACAACATATTCAATACTTAATTATTCGAGTACTTAAAATTCAGTATTTAACGGATTCAATACTTAATTTTCGGCTTTATCAAACATCACCTTAGTTATTTTATTAGATCTCAACTCCAACATCCAATTACTTGTATTATATTTGAACTCCTAGATAATTTAATAATCATTAACAAATTATTCCAACTCCAACACACGATTAATTATGTTATATTCCAAGTTTATGGTAATTTAATACTCTTATACCAATTTGTTTATTTGTTGGAAAGTGTGACTTTTTCATGTTTAAATGTACTATGAAAAATTAGTTAGTAAAATTGATTTTTCAATGTAGGAAAAATTAAACTTTAGAGGGAAAGAAAACATTTTCCTATTTAAAATAGCATAAAACCTTTTTCATGAAGGAGTAAAACTAAAATGACACATCACTTCATCACTTATATATATATATATATATATATATATCTTTGTGTGTGTGTGTGTGTGTGGTTAGTGGTTAATTATAAGTATTAGAAAGGAATGAGAATTAATTTTAACGCCATAACAAAGATAAGGAGTTAACTTGGCCTCGCTTTGCATGAGAAGTAAACAAGTCCGGGGTTTCTAACTTAGTTAGGAATTGAATTTATAACCTTTTGGTTATTAATTTAGGGATAGTAATATACTCGTATACTTAACCTATTAATTCAATTACTTGCTCTATTCATTAAAAAAATATTATACCCATGCCCATTAAAAAATTATGATTTAAATTCATACCGACCCATACTCGACTTACTCACTTATTTAATAGTTGCTAA